TCTCTATCTTTTCATGTAAGGATAGTTGTGTTTCTCTCTAACTGTATGTCCGAAATTGGTAAAATACGAGGTACACCCAGGGACAAAATTTCAGCCAAAAAATTATTCTTGCGTCGGCTATAACTCATCCCCAAAGGTCCAGTCAAGCGAACCAAGATAGACTTTTACTTACCTCAACAGCTCCTATGCAATGAATATAATATCAATCGAAAAGCGATTAAACACTTGGAAACGTTCCCTCGTAAGTTATGAACTTTTAATTTTACTCAAAAACAGCAAACATAGGTTATTTCCCCTCGTATAGGTTTTCACTACGTTTCTGGAACTTATTTGAAAAATAAATGTTGCCACGAGATTCAGCATGGTTGATTACCATTCGTTTTCGAAATTACCTCGCGGAAAGAAATATTGATCTTGGGACTCTCGGGAACTACGATGCACACCTGAACCAGGAAAAATTAGGAGCTTCCTTAGTTCCTATTTTGACGAGAACACCTTGGACTATATACCTATGAAAAATAACTGATAGACTGCTATCTCAATATCCGGAGATCCAAACTGGTTTTCAAAAGACCTCCTAGAAAACCGATCTTCCGGATATTTTTCGGAAAAGATTTTTCATATGAAACCATAGGCAAAACTATTTTCTTCCGATTGCTGAAAACCCCAGATCTCTATTTTTGTTAGTTATTCGAAAAGCGCTAATTAGCGTGTCGCATGTAGAAAGAGTTAGCGTTTTTCTCAAAATCAATTTTTGCGCTAGTGGTCAAACGTCCAGCAAATGTTTTTAAAATATAGTTTATTATAAAGAGGTGCAGCTCTTTTTATTTGTTGGGGCACTCGATACTTCTTCGGATAATGAGATGGAACTTTTTAATTAGGCTCTAGTTTTGTAGAAAACCGCGTCTGTCTGGAATAACTCTGATAGTATTTTAAGGTTTTAGAAATTTCGAAGCTCCCCAAAATTAAAGAACGCAAGAATAAAAAAGATAATTTCACCACAAAGTATTGGAGTAATTTCCTGTTAAGCTTTTGCCGTTCGAAAGACACTGACGGTTGGAGAAGGTATCGACGAACGGCCGTTCATTCTGAGATTTTGGAACAGCCGTTCTATTATTTGTTCCAAAAGGTTTTAAAAATGGGACAGGGTTCACTCTTTAGTGTCAAATTTCAATTTGTATTTTGTAATACCTTTTCCAACTGAAGTTTCTGACAAAAACTAAACTTCTAATAGATTGTATGGATGAAAATGATCCAAGCATTTCCACTTTTGCGCATGACACTTGCAGTTTATTTGATCTTGCAGAGAGCTAGATATATTTTTCAAGTTATTGTATGCTAAATCAATTCAAGAACCGAAGATCAATGCTCAGGCTTCCTGACCTGCTTAGGATGAGTAATTAATAAATAAATAAATAATAAATAGTCAACTAGTAAAACTGATTATCGGAGATAATCCAAGAATGAATGATCGAGGATAATACGAGATATCAAAAAAAGAAAGATTATCCAAAAGGCCGAGATGCTATCAAATCAATCTACTTATTTTTATAATTTTTAGCCGTCAAAGAAATGCGGTTTCTCAGATAATCACAACAATAAAGGTCATGCGTGATATACAATAGTATAAAGATCATCCCGGGTTAGTTAAGAAGATCAGATAGATGAGTGACGAACTGGTTTTATGATATACTAAATGATATTGCGGGATGAGCGGAGCTATTCAAGAATCGGTTTGGCACTCGTTGACTCACCTTTTTTGGATGTGTAGAATGATCAAAAATCGAAAAAATTTTCGACTAAGAAAGTTGCTCTATCCTTTACTGTTGCTTTTTCAAAAAACTTATATCAACATTTCCTAAGAAAATTTCTCAAGATTTTCATTTGATTCCACATTGCAGAACTTGAATGGTATAAAACTTAATTTTATCTACTTTTTTTAGCATTGTCGTCTCGAATGGCTCTTTCCAGTCATGTTTGTGCTCAAACAGAAAGAGTTTCTTTGACGTTTGGAAACAATTCTCCTGAACGTACATCCACACAAGGTGCACAACAAGATATACGACTATCGTCACAGGTAAAAACAAGTCAAATAACAACTGATACTATTTCAAACAAAATGAAACAGTTATGTAAAAAGGTTTTATTAATACCATCAGTTATACAGTCATACCAAACTTTAATGTTATTTTTCTAGAGAAAAAGACCTTGAGATTTTTACATATTCGAAATCTGCACGACGAGTGACGTTGTAGGGTGCGAAGATCTCGTCGGGAGCGCCTCCATTTTTTTGAACGCGGTGAGTTCACTGGAGGTTTTTACGGTATATTATAGTATATTCAACGGTAGACATCAAACACACTGCGTTCACTTTTCTTTTCTCTGATCGTATTTTTCTTCCATCTCATGTTTTTTCTTATGTGCTTGTATATATGTGTACAGAGCTTTATTTTTTTTATAGAAAAAAACGAATTTTCTATTCTAATCCAGATATTCATTTATTGTATGTCCAAAAGCAGTGCTCATCCTATATTCTGTCAGCTTTGCAACTTAAAATTAAATTGAAAGATTACTACGTGATGTTCAGCTTTTCATTCCTTCTCAATATCGTTTGGAAAAAGATAGATCAAAATCAGTCTACAACTACGAAGCATACAAGCAACAACAGTAATTACTTCATTCACAATTTCAGAATAGATTTGAGGAAAATGTTTGGACTAGAATTGGAACTACTACTTCTGCACCATTTAATAACACAACTCATGATTCAAATTTGAATGAAACTATCAGAACTCTCTGAAGAGCTGAAACAAGCACAACAACGACATGAAACTGAACAGAAGCGAATTCAATAGAAATTTAAAAACAGTATGCTACTGATGAATCAAACCTTTCTCTTAATGCAACAATCTCAATAGACTCAATCCACTATGATCCGTACAATGAATGCCACTATAAGTGAGACTGTGTTTTCAACATGTATGAAAGTCATTGAGCATTTGCATTCAATTGTAACAACAATAAAACTCCAGATCAATACAAATGAATTTGATGATATTTTACAACAGATTCATTCTCAAGTTACATACCTACGTGAAGCACACACTGAATTCTGTAAACATTAAGATGGATTAAAAAATATTTCAATTAAACAAACAACTGCGTTGAATCAAGCTCTTGGTGTACTTCCGAATTTTGATACTGATTAACAGCGATTGTAAAAAATACTGTGTGCCATACGTGAACTATGAATTGATGGATCAATACGATGGGAGTGCAAACGAAAAAGACATTTTATTTTCTATTTTTAATGAGTGGGATAACCGTACTTCGGTAAGTGAACTGACTGCGAGTTGGTGTAAGTCTCGGGCTGTAACTACTTTTGAGAATCTTTCTGTACTACTTTGGAATTCTGAAGGTCTAAGCACTCATATGTCTGACTTTGACTCTCTTCTTTCTTTGCATCTGCCTCATATCTTCATTCTTACTGGGGTGGGGAAAAAAATTCGTGCGCTGACACCTAGTTCTCTTTTTAACACCATTTACTGCCGGAGAGGATATAGTTCTATCGTCCTATTCAAATGAAAATAATATTCCAAGGCCGAGTTATGAACTTTTTCAGAAAGGACATCATGTTTCAAAAGTGATCCTCGATCGTAAAACAGCTGTATTTCAATAACTATTAGAAGTCAACAAAAGAAATTTATGTCGCAGATAGAGAAGAATCAAGGCCACATTTTGGTAAAAAGAAAAAATTTTCATCTTTCTTGGATTAGAAGTTATTGGCATTTTATGGAAAATAAATGAAGCACTTATAACTTACGAACCACTCAGTAAAAGAGGCTCAAATTTGGTAGGTGATCAACATTCAGTAAGAGCTATGATCACACAAAATTGGAAGTTCCACCGTGGTTCTGGAGTTAGAGGGGGGCGTAATGGTTTTGCAACACCCTGTATAACATTCGATTGATAACTGATAAGATCATTTTCTTATTTTTCAGATCCTTCATCAACTGGTTTAGTACCAGCGATTCAATTAACAGCAATGGTCCAAACATTATTTATAACATTAGCGGCGGAAGGAATAGATGAAAACTAAACAGCTGGTAATCGATGATCTTATTAATGTCTGTTGCCAACAAGATGATTATAGTTGAATCATTTTGTAAGGTGAAGAATTTCAATATAGATAATAAGAGATACACCACCTTTTTCATCATGAAAATCTGAGGATGTCTTTTGAATAAAGACGAAACGTCAACAGAAAATAGTCGATTTTCATGATGAAAAAGGTGGTGTATCTCTTATTATCTAAGATGATTATAATCAAAATAAACCTGTAGCACGTGGAATAATTGTTAAAGTTTTAGAGCAAGATCCTCGTATTCAACAAATATTAGCAATATGAGATTAACTCGAACGTTTCTTTTTTTTCACAACATTGTTTTCTTTTTGTTCTTGTAAAAAGCAAAGATGTATAATCACAAAATAGAGTATGAATAGACACAGACTATAATTCAAAACTTTATCAAGAACTTTTCTCAATTCATCTCTGAACCGTAAAACAATAATAATATATCAGATTCACTGGTCGATATATCTGATATGCATAACATTTGACAGGTGATAGGATCAATGTTAAAGGAGAGATCTGCTGTTTGCATAAGACACAAAGAGGTCACAACAAAATAGAACAAGACTGTATAATATTATGACACAATCTATGTGCACATTTATCCTTGATTACTCGTCTCGATTCAATGGAAATAACCAATTTAAGTATTATACAGTCTTGCTCTGTTTTGTTGTCACCTCTTTGTGTCTTATGCAAACAGCAGACCCTTCCTTTAACATTGATTCTATCACCTGTCAAATGTTATGCATATATCCCCTCTTATATAGTTATCCTCTCAGAAGTTTGGTCTTATTTTTCTATTGACGAAATTTATTTTAGCCCACTAGCTGTACTTTCAAAATTATTCAATTAATAGACCAGCTTCACTTCCACCATCCTCTATCAAAAATTTCTTGCCTTACAGCTGGTGTCGTTAACCTAAGCATGCACCAGTTCCAATCTTAAGCTTGGAGGATTGGTACCAAGCCTAACTGGTAACAAGTCCAACTGGTAACAATCTTGACTGGAGATTGGGAGAATTGGTACCAATCTTATCAATCCCCACTCGGATTGAACTGGTGCACGCCTAAGAGCAAACGCTCTTACACAACTTTCGAAAACTCCAGTATTTGAAAGGGTACTTAATCTGAAAGCTGTCCTCTGGGTATCTTACTGCGAGGCAGTCAATCCCCTTGAAATGAATGAATATATTCCCAATCCGATTGACACGGAAAACGACGAAGATAACCACCACGAACCAGACCCTTTCCCAGGACGTTTTCTTGTAATTGCTATTGAAGTAGCTAGATTTTTCCAAGATCACTCCATTGAGATGGCGTTCGAGAATACGACCAGATATCAAAGAGGAATCGCAGAGAAGAATCAGAAACCTGCGCAGGCATACTGTGAGTTACGTACAAAGACAGCTCAATCTATGATTGACATCTCTGTTACACCACTGTTGGGATCGTGAATGTAACTAATCTGTGGGGTACTTGACTTGTTTGCTCTTGACTAGCACTGTTCTTGGATCCGTATATATTGTATAAAATAAATATGTACAATAAAAATGAACAGAGCTTTTGCTCTTACAATCCACATTCACACACACTCGCAAAAGCAACTAACTAACTACTTACTAACCAATATTACATGAGAGTGCAAGTCTATTTATATCACACGAAAAAGAGAGAGAGAAAATCTCGAACATTCTAACAAAAACAAAAAAGACAATTTACAGTCTATACATACAATGTGAATAGTAGGGAACAATAGAGACTGGACTAAACTTTATCGTTTCGAAGGAAAGAGAAAAAAAGAAAAATATATTTTCGTTTCTGTACAGTGGATGATACGTGCAAATAATAAGCAGATAAAGAGTGAAGAAGTGAACTCTTTATGTATGAAAATACTGGTCGTTAGAGATTACTCTCTAACACTCCCCCCGACAACAATTAAGTTGAGTCTCATGGCTCAACAAACAACATAACTGAAGAAGATATGTAATTAAAACTAAGAAAATTATTTCAACAAATCAAAACAACCAACATAGGTCTCCTAGCCTAAGATGTTCTCACTACTGTCTCTTTCTCTGTAATGAAAAATGTCTTTAGTCTCTCTAGTACCATAGTCGAACCCTTCTGACTTTTGTTTTCGTGCACGTCAGAGGTCCTTGGTTCACTTGTTTGGGAAAAGAGATCTTCTTTCTTCGCCGCCCTGCTTGGATGACTTGTATATGTCAACTGGCCACTTCACTAATAACCATCCTTGCACCTCCCAACTTGTATTTGTTATTGAACACCAGGATGCTTATGAAACATATATTTTTTTTTGAGTATTCATCGTTGTTCCACCTGCTGCTGACAGAGACAAATGACAATTGATAATGAATGGTACCCTTCAACACCAAATGCCCATAGTCAATGAACCAGATAATTTTATTATCATTGTTTGGCAAGGCCTAGAAGAAAAGGGTTAACAGAGAGGGAGGAATGAATTTCCGCTCTGACGAATAATCGAGCCATTAATTCTCGTACAATGTTAAAACCAAAACTATCATAAAATAAACAACAAATTGGCCAGACTTGAAGTTGATCAAATGATTTCTATACTTGAACATAACATGTGTAGGATAATTGACTCAACAATTGTTTCCTTTTCTGTTAGTGATTATAGTGGTTGATAATAGGGTCGGAGTCGTTGAACATGGACCTGTTTGACATCCGACAAATTCCTGGGATCTTGTACCATATAGGATAACTGACCAAGTTTTTGAGTAATTCTATATGGTCCATCTTTCTTCGGTGCTAATTTTGATCTCATACCAATCCTTGCTACGCATACATAGTCGCCAATATCATAACTTGGATTTCTTCTGTTTTGATCATATCTGCTTTTTGCTCTCTGCTGTTGTTGTTCAATGTTTTGTTGAGCCATTTGTTTTGCTTGACTAATATATTGATGAAGCTGTTTAACATATTCATGTGGCTCCAATTTTTGTTGTTGCATGACGAGTGTTGTTCTATGCCGAAACTGTTTTTGACAATTGTACATTCCAGTCACTTCGATTTGCGTTTGACAGTGCAGCTTGATGTTTGCAATTGATGTTTCATCACGCGCTGGTTTTGCAATGACAAATTTTGACAGTAAGTCAGTAATGATAATCACATATTTGTTCCCAGTCTTTGATGTTGGTGTTATTGTGAGGAAGTCCATGGCTAATGTTTCCCATACTCCTTGTGGTGGTGGTATTGGTTTCAAAGCACCATCAGGCTTCCTACGTGAATGCTTGTTGACTGCACAATTAGGACATTGTTGAACATGTCTTTGCACATCATTGAACATATTTTTCCAAAAATATCTGTCTCTAATTTTATAAAGTATTTTCCATAGCAGCACCTACACAAATTTCTAATGCAAATAATCGTCAGAAACTGACAGCTTTTAAGAGATACTCATCGTTATATTGTATAAGAAAGATATTAGCATATAAGAAATACACACCTGAAACACTTCGACTAGAGATAATTGTTTTGCAGCGAAAAAAGGACATGACCAACAAAATTACTTTTGTTTACTTCGTTTCATAAATTTAAATGCAGAAAAAAGCAAACAAAAGCTTTAGATGTTTATCATCATCTTCGTGTAAATTTCATTATATATGCACCGTCACTCGAACCATTAGTATTTTTCCTTTTCTTGTTTTTCTTTCTTAATGTTACTGATGCTTGTCATCGTCCTGTTTTGTTTAGAGAATTTCGCATGAAATTGACTATTTCATTTGTAAAGATAAATGACCAGCCATAGGTGAAGCTCCATCATAACCCTGACCTTTGCAACATTTGATATCAAATTACATCGAATCAAAATATCAAGAATAACTTCGGTAATATGTTCTGCTGTTTGTCATGCTACGGCATACAAACCAAGTACATCTTCATAATAACAAAATTACTATCAACAGATCTAATGATAAGACATAATTGTTCACTACTAAATTCATCACTGGTTTCATCACATATGATGCTATAGAATTTTCGTTCAATAATCTAAATAAAAGATAGAGAAACAAGTAAAATAAAGGTTTGACGAAACAATATCTATACGATTATCAAACGACATTGCGTTTTCAAAGGAGTTAGTAAAGAGAAAATATTTTCTTAGGTTTTTAGCTTGCCTTTCCTTATGCGGTCTATGTAGAGTCTGAAATAAAAAGCTTTGACGCTTACAAGGTAATTGTTTCCATCTCTTGAACTAGTTCACGAACAATTGATAGCGAAATAATCTGACAAAGTTCATGTAAAATGTCATGTGATAAATAATTTCCTTCTTTAATCCATGAAGAAAAATCATTAACAACAACTTCACGTAGTTTTAGTAATTGAGTAAAATTTCCGTCATCATCCACATGTCCTCGAAGAGCTAAACCTTGTCTCAACAAATACCTAATACATTCAACTTCTATCAAAAGCATACGTCGTCGTTGTGCTTGTTGAATTTGATAGAGAAATATTTTATAGGAGAGTTGTTTAATCAGAACAATTTTTGAAGTTCTTCTCCTAGATTCGATCTGCCGACCCTCATACTATGTATTTCTCCAACTTTGCATTTTCCTTCTGCACTAAATAGTGCAAAAAAAAAGATACAAGTTATGATTATACATTCGTATGACGGTCGTACACTTACGTATATATTTAAATAGTCTTTACATGTGATCACTCACATGTTACTAGCTATACTATACATAAGTGTCGACCTTATTCTTAACGTCAACACAAAGTGTACGACGGGTACTTTACTAGCAATGCTAGTTAAAAGGCACCAGTGATGTTATATATAACTCTCACGAGGTTCTTTATAGAGAAATATTGTATTTTTTTTGCACTATTTAGTGCAGAAGGAAAATGCAAAGTTGGAGAAATACATAATATGAGGGTCGGCAGATCGAATCTAGGAGAAGAACTTCAAAAATTGTTCTGGTTGAATTTGATGTGTAAGACTTAGTCGAGTCGCGACTGTTGGTTTTTTTTGTTGATTGACTAAATACACACAATCAGAATGTACTCTACCAGATTCATGTTTATGAAAACGAGCTGAAGCATTCTTCCAGTCACTATATCCAGTAAATGTTAATGCTGTATCTCCAATTTTATTTGGTTCAGGATGAAAACGACTGAAATAAGCCTTACGACAATAATAGCAATAAACTTGATCGATATGAAAAGATGCTTTAAAGTCTATCGAATGCGGAAAACAAGGTGTCTTCATCTGTTTTCTATCTCGAGTTATTCAAAAAATAGCCTAGGGCATTCTGTTTTGAAAAGGATAATAGTGAAATAAACCTAGTGTTAGAAGAGAATATCGCACAGAAGTAGCTGGCGTCTGGTTTTATAGGAAAATATTTGCTCTATATTTCTAATGACTCAAAAAATATTCTAGCTACCCATATCTTTGAAATCCATTTCAAAATTTAGAAAAGGAACAAAAAGATGAAAAACACCTCGACCTATGCTTATCTCTAATATTTGGTTTAGAAGTATATATATCATGCTCGTGTTTAAAAACTGCGTATTGTATATGAATCGATGCAAAAATGTCTGCTCTAGAAACTAAAGCGAGATTTAGTTTGAAGATGCTATATGAGCGGTCTATGTTGACAAAAATGCGTATTGAAAAATATGGAATATTTTAGTTTTATATTTTCAAGTCTTAGATAATTTAGTGTTTTGTTATGTGCAGACATATGATCTTATAGAGTAAACATCCCTCTCTGAGACAAGACATGAACGGTTAATAGAACTTTGATGGTTTCTGAGAAATATGAGAATTTGTGAAAATTCACATTTTATATATGCATCGACGCATTTTTTCTCTTTCAAGAATGTGCGTTCACCCTATCTGGAATATTCGCTTAAAATTAAAAAAGATTAACGTAGTATTGCATCTGAGTTATCTTTTAACACTAAACAATATCTCATTTCTCGAGAGATTTGAAAATATAGATAATTCCAAACTTACTAAGTTACTTATCAGTCTCACTATCTGTTTCATTTCTACTTGTATATCACATGATTTTATTCCCACTATGTTCTTTAGTTTTCTTTTATGCATGTAACATCATCACAACGGGAAAAAATGATATCATGGGCCTTGAACTCTTTCCTTTTTGCTCTATCTTTTTTCTTCTATTTATTAATAAATAAAGCTTATATCAACCACACCAAGCACAGATATGACTGATACACCTTTTGTATCAAAAGTCACTTTAAAATGTTTTGCAGTTGTTCCTAAATCGTTTTCTAGAATAAAAAGTTTTTAAAGATCTTATTATTAGATAATACAAATTACAAGAATCACATTTGTTTTTTGTGACAAACAAGAGTACTCTAGAGAAAATAAGCAAAAAAAAGGTTTCTGATTGTTTAGTCAGAAACAATACTTATTTTGCTATTTTGTTTTGTATCGCAGTAATGTTTCATAAACTTGCTTGAATTTCCAGTCATTCCAAGCTTTCTCAAGAAAATGTTCTTCTATACCGCATTAACAATGTTGATGTATCATATATTTATTTTTTTGATTGTGACGTGTAGTGAAGAATGATATTTTTGTTTGTGTTTGACACTTGTCACAGTATAAATTGCTGACGCAAATCATTTTATCCAAAGTCACATTCAAATGAACTTTAGCTATATGATTATCAATATCATTAACAAAATTGTATCCGTCGCGAAAACAACACTTTGATATTCCTGTACCCTGTAAGATTACTTTTTTCCTCTCCGCCGTCTTTTTACCATTGCTATCTGGTTTAGCATCCTATAACGCTCATTTCGTTCAGTAATGTAAACAACACGCAATTTATTGCGTACACTTTTCCCGATCTTATCTTTGCTTAGTTCATCATAAACTCTCATGTGTTTAGTATTTTCGCACCACAATTTATTATCATATTTTAGAATGGCAATTGTGCCTAAACTATTAATATCCAATAAATTATACTTTAATGCAACATAAGTTTCAGCTAAACCCCAACCTTGATCAAATGTTGTGCGAAAATGTGTTTGTGAATAGCGTACTGGTCCGGAGTTTTTCTGGTAAACCTTAATACAGTATTTGTCTTTCGTTTTGTTCTTCATCTGTCTCAACTGTTGCCATTTTCAAAATATGACAACAAATATTCACTCCTTTTTGGTTATATCGCTTTTCACTTTATAGAATAAAAAGCACTAGACAAAAAAAAACTTGCGAGATGTCATAATTCGAAAAAAACATTTATTTAATACTCATGCTCTTACTTCACAATACATTGAGTTGAGTTTTATGCTAACTAAAATTATTTAAACGAAGAAATCCGATAGCGTCTTTATGATAACTATCCTCAAAAGTCGAGAAGATTATTGAAAAGCAATAGGAGAGAAATATGCTCTTTTTCCACTAGCGCATCGGTCTACAACAGAAACGAGCGAGAAAAAAATTATTATGTCAATATTGTGTGACAAAAGAATGGGTAAAAACCTAGTGCGAAATGATTCATTTGGGAAAGACAAATGCTTTCAAAGTCCTGATTTTGAACAAGAATGAAAATCCACTCAGATATATTAGATCTTATTGATGGAAACTCGCGGTTTTCGTCGTACTATTTCTGATCGATCATAACCCATATGGTGAAAATCGCTGAAAATCGATGATGTTCTGCGATTTCTCATGCTGATTAATTGTGGGATTATATCGCGATTAAATCGTTCAAACTAGCGATTTTACCTGATTGTTTTGTCGACCTTTGTAGAAAAGCGTGAATTAATTGCGATACATCCAGCGTGGGAGTCATGATAAATCGGTGATAATTTTGCGATATATCAACATATTACCGATGTTTTTTTTGTTTTGAGGTACTAAGATGTCCGTAATTCAAAGGAGGAGCACTTTTTATTTTTTAGAAAGCGACACATATTCGGATTTGCCTTTTCGCGGTGATTCCGAATAACAGGTTCCGAACATCTAAAAGTGACCTTTTTGCGGGAAAATCGCGAAATACGGGGAAGGTTTCACAAACCAAAAAACACTCAGTTTCGAAAACGTTCCACAGTTTTTTATTGTCACAAGCTTTGCGAACAGGATATTCGGCTTCCTGACTAAAAACAGCATCTACAAATGTAGCTGCTAAGATTCTTCCCTCAAAAACCGATTTACACGAAAGTAATAACCGCGGAGGCGTAAAGTTTCATACCCTCACCGCAAAAATCTATCTAGCTCGTCTGTTGACGAGCTAGAGACTTGATTCTAGCGCATTCGAACCGCCTTCAAATGGAGAAAAAAAGTACGCATCGCTTTTCCCATCCGTAGTACAACAATTTCATCGGATTCAGATGTTTTATATACTTTGAACACAAATTGTGATTCTGGTGGAGCTGATGAGAGTTTGTCTATCGATGACATCGACATGTCTGTCGCGGTCTGTGGCGCAAGACGGGAGGAAGGGTTTACTTTTCTCGCTCTATACTTCAACGCTCATTAACCATCAGTGTATGTATGTTATTTTTTGTTTCTCTTTCTTTATTTTCTTTTGTCAAGGGTAGTTGAATTTTATATGATTATGGTGATCTGTGGGTCGGAGAGAACGCCTTCTTTTTCGTCTTTTATTGATGATATCAGCTAATGTACATTGTATAGAAGTGCAAAGTACTTTCGATATCTTTATACATAACGTGCGTAGTCTGTTGGCTGCCGTGGCCTCATTTAAACAATGTACAAAGAGTTATCTCAAACTCACAGCTTTTACCATCTTTCAGCAAGTTTGATGCCTCAAAGCTTATGCATCTTTATCGAATCCTGCCATAATAGGAATAGTGGAAACTTGGCTATCTCCCGCAATTCACTCTAATCGATTATTTCCTTCCAACTATCACCCTCCCTTTCGCAAGGGCAGAAACAGACATGGCGGTGGCTGCATGCTTTACGCATGTACTGGCATAAACGTAAAACGTCTTGAGCAGTTTAAAAATGATAGCTTTGAGTGCATATTTTTCGCTCTGACAATATCAGCTAAACAACGTTTTCTTCTTATACTGTGTTATCGCCCTAATTATTGTGATATTGGTGAGTTCTTAGCTAACATCAACAAAGTACTTTTGTTGCTCGCTTCTAGAAGACAAAAATTTGATTCAATTGTTATCACAGACGACCTCAATGCACACTGCGCTGAGTGATGTAGTGTGCCTACAAAACCAACAATAGTTGAAGGTTCAGTTTTAAGAAATTTCATGAATAACTCCGGTTTTTTCAGTTAATAGATAAGCCGACTCGGATAAGATCAAACACGCTTTTAGATCCTCTCATAGTTAGTAACTTAGTGTGGTTCAGACATGTTGAGGTTGTACAAAACATTACGACAACCTGAGATCATCATGCCATAGGTTTCGGTTTGTTGACAAAATTCAAAAAGATTCAGACGAGCACAAGACTTATCTATAACTACGAAGTAGCAAACTGGGATATTTTTAGGAATAACTTAAGTCTAGTACCATGGCAGGCACTACTAAAAAACATGAACAGTCTGGATGAGAGAGTGGAGCGCCTTATGGATGTTATTTCGGATGTTGCCAAGTGCCACATACCCAATACAACCATTAAGGTATGCAAAAGTGATAAGATATGGTTCACTGATGAGCTCCGGAGGATATATAGGAAAAGGAATAAGATGTTTAGACGCTTATCTAACAGTCAGAGTAATGGAGGTAAGGCAAAACTGAAAGCGGCGCAAGATGATTTCGAGAATGCATGTGTTTTGGTTAAAAAGCAGTTTTACACAAAAATATCTGTGAAAATCTCTATCTCGGGTAAAGCTTGGTGGGCACTAGTAAATAAGGCCTTATGTAGAAACAAGACAAGTGTTATTCCGTCGATCAGTGCACGAAATGGCGTAGATACTGATGACCCTAAAGAGAAGGTGAGGCTATTCAATAACTATTTTGCTTCTACTTGCACTCTGTCTCCATCCCAAATAAATAAAAACCTTTCACTTTTCCATTATACAACTGCAGTTAGAATGTCATCTGTAACTGTTTCACCTGCAGATGTAATGAAAGTCATGAATAAAATCAAGTCAAATAAGGCAGTTGCCGAAGGTTTAACTGCAAGAATAACCAAAGAATCTACACCCGTACTAGCACGTATCATTTGTGACATCATGAATTCTAGTTTAAAACATTCTGTTTTTCCTGAAGTTTTGAAAATAGGTAACATTACCCTAATATATAAGAAAGGTGATCCGCATGCAGTTGAAAACTATCGACCAGTTACACTGTTACCGATCATAGATAAAATAATGACAAGAGCAATTTTCACTTATCTTTATAATTATCTTTTTTCTAATAAGCTTATTTCTGCTCATCATCTGGATTTGTGAAGCATGATTCTTCCGTACAAAGCTGTCCCACTTTGTTAGTAAACCAGAAAACGTCTTTCTTTTTCTATAAACTTTTGTTTCAAAACCGTGACTATTTCTTTTGACTAAGACTTCAAGAAAAGGGAGCGTTTACTGTGACGATTCATCTTCAAATGTAAATTGTATAGATGGATTGTACGTGTTCAAAATTGTCAGTATATCTTTCACTGCATATTTCGAGGTGACTAGAGCGAAAATGTCATCAACATACCGAACGAAATATTTAATTCCGACGACACGAATATTCTCTGCGTACTTGCGTTCATAATGCTGCATGTAGATTTCAGCAATGATTGGTGCCAAAGGCGCTCCCATTGAAACGTCATCGATCTGATCAAAAATCTTATTATCGAAGAAGAAATGAGAATTTTTAGTTGCAAAAACTAGCAACTTTTTAAAATCCGCTTTTTTCATCGTGGGTGGTGCTTGAGTGTCGGATTCATATAACAGATTGAGAATTATTTCAATTGTTTCGTCTAATGGGATATTCGTAAATAAAGAATTGAAATCTAATGACATCATTCGAAGATTAAGTGCTAGATTCCTACGCTTCTTTAGTTCATTAATAAATGCAAAGGAGTCTTTCAGCATTTTCTTATGATCGTGCAATGGAACTACTGTAGATAATGCATTAGAGCTTTACCTAGTCCGTAGTTGAAGATATTGATCGCAGACAACACTGGTTTTAATGGTGTGTTCGTCAAGGATTTGTGGATCTTTGGCAAGCCGTAAAGACGACCTGGGTACGAACCACGGTCTAGCTCAATTGTAAAATGCTTCTGAAATTACCTTTTCTTTTTTAAGTCTTTGAAGAAGATATTGTAAAGAATTTTCACATTTGATAGTTGGATCTTCAAACAACTGTTTGAATTTCTTTTTATCATTCAGAATAGCATACCTTCTTTCATTGTATTCAGACTTATTCATTAGAACTACTCCACGTCCCTTGTCTGATCTTAAAATCTGAATCGAATGGTCTGAACGTAAATTTTCTAAAATTTCATAATAGTTTTTGTAATTGGAGTTCTTATTCATTTCATCTGTTTTAAATCGTCTAGTTTGGTACGAAAATGAATCTGTGAGTGATCGAAGTTTGCTAACTAGATTCAATTATCTAGGACTGACGATTCGAATTTCTTCTTTAGAAGTCATCTTCTTTTCATGTAGATCAGTGAATAGCTCTTTGTATTGTTTGTAGATGTCCGTAACTCGATGAAACAATTGCTCAATATTACTAATAGTTGTGATAGGATCTAATTTCTTCGGCAATCGATCGAAATCTAAATCATTCGCTAAACAATCTATCTCTTCACCTGTAAGATTACGACTCGAGAGATTAGTTACCACTTTCCTATCAGGCTTAATGCTCTTCGATGCTTGTTTAGCTTCATATGCTAAAAACTTCCTCGAGTGACTTGCTTTTTTCTCGTGAATTATTTTTAAACAAGTTGCTTCAATTGAGCGTGTTGATAAACGAAAATCTGATTCAGATAGCAAATATTTTAATGAGCTTTTATATATGCGCATATACCCTAGACAAACATTTTTTGCTATTTCTGGTAAGAATCTTTATCCGAGTCTTATCGGATTCTTACATAAGAAGTCCGCACGAAAATGGCAAGAATTTCGTACGAATCCGATAAGAATCAGGTAAGATTTAAATAAGAATGAGCTATGACTTTAATAAGACGCTCTT